GAACTGTGAGCTTTCTTAAGTATCAACTCCCTCAAACTATCAACATTAGTAACACAAAGCCAACCCTGGAGTGGCATAGCACCATCATCTCTAATAACCATCTTCTTAGCACCACCTCGCTACACCGTGTCTTTAAGTGCTAACAAATAGGGATCATCATACTAGAGAGCCTTAATGTGCTTAAACAAGAACGACTGTGAAACAATATAAGTAAGAACTCTACTAGGCTAAGAAATATCCAATCTCACAAGTCTATTGGCGAAGGACTGAACATCCATAGCTAATGGCCTCTCCTCAGCTGGAATGAATGCCGAACTACCCATACTCTCTGTCTTTCCGCTCCAAGCATCTGCTACCACATTCTCCTTATCCGGATGATACAAGATAGTAATATCAAAATCCTTAACCCAACATAAGCTAGTAGGTAACAAATTGGGTGTTTGGGAAGCTATATGGTGAAGAATTATGTTAGAAGATATATACAAGGAAGGAGGAGGAGAATGTTGTTTCCCCAATTCATTTTTTGAAAAATCGGACTTTTGATCGGAGATATGGTATTTTACCTGAAAATATGAGGTTTTCCGGCCAAGAGCTTTAATTTTTGGTCTTAATTTTGCTTCTCACGTGCCTCAAGAAAATTTAATGCATTCTCTATGCCACATCAGCAAATAAAGAGGTAATAATTCCACTTTAAAGGAGTCTGGGGGCCATAGGACTAGCAAACTTGAAGTGCGTAGCTGAAAAAAGTGGACAAGTTAAGGGGGTAATTATGTATTATCCCTAATTATTTACTCAAAAATTTATTTTAATAATATGATATTATTTTACAAAATAATGTACTACAACTCGACATACACGTGGCCGAGAAACTAATAAATTTTAAAAGTAATATAAATATGTAAAAACCTCTAATCATTTCAACATTATAAACTATTTTTTTATCTAGAAAAGAAAAAGAAGAAATACTATGCTATTGGTACATTTACGAGAATTTGACCAAAATCATCCCTCTTGTTTCACCCCAACTTTCACTACATCCTTGTAATATTTCACTTAACCTAAAACATCCTTTAAGTTTCCCAAAAGATGACCAAAAATATCCCTCTGTTAAATTTCCATCCATCTTTAACAGATTCTAATATTTTCACGTAACTTTTTCGTTTTCCCAAAAGGGAGAGCCTCCAACTTCAGCGAGCTCTTCATTCTTAACAAAAGTGTGTTGCATCTTTTTTCGTCTTTGATTTTCTTCGATCTCTTTCTCGTGAAATCAATTACAAAATTATTTTTTCTCTAATTTGCTATTTCTATATCATTTTCCTGTTTCAGATTTTCGATTACTGATCAATCAAAACTTCTCATTTCTTTTTCCTACAGTTTTTTCTTTTGCAGAATGTGAATCTTTTGAATTGATTTCAGCGCATTTTTCCTGTATTTGGGTAGAGAATTGCATGCAAAAACTAAAAAATATGTAGATTTTGGTCTGCGAAAACTTAATAATGTGCAGTTTTGGTGTGTAAAAATTGGAAAATGTATGCAGAAATTAATAGAAGTTCAGATTTTGGTGTGCAGAAATTAAAAAATATGTGCAGAATGCAATATATTGTTGTGCAGAAACTGAAATGTAAGTGCAGAATCAAGAAAAAAATAGTGCAGTGTGCAGAAACTGTAATTTAAGTGTAGAATCTGAAATGTAAGTGCGTAATCTAGATAATTATAGTGCAGGAATTGAAATGTATGCAGAAACTAAAAAATATGCACATAATGCAGAAAAAGTACAGATTGCAATAAATTATGGTGCAGAAACTGAAAATTAAGTACAAAATGGAGAAAACTAATTACAGAAATACCAAATGCCAAAAGTTGAAACTTGTAAATGATTAAAGTCTGAAAATTTCATAATTGAGTCATACGGAATGAACTTAATTCGCTTAGAAGTCATCACATTACAAAATGAACTTGCGTCATTCCAAAATAAATCCAGTCATTACAAAATGAACAAAATGGAAACGACTGTCACATCTACGATGCTATGTAATTTGGCACATTCATGCTACTAGCCTCTTCTAACCTGAAAGGGGAATAAGAGGACCTTAAGATAGATGAATTTCATTACAATGAAGTAAGACAAACATTATTGATATATGCATCTCACCGGAAGTTTGTCACGAAAAGGGGCGGATTCTTGCATCCAATTTGTTGTGTTCTCAACCATAATAGAGTCCAAAAATGAAGTGTAGTTTGTTTGTTCTGGTTCAACAACATTATATAAAGAGCAAGTTCTTTTGTTATGGCCAGGTCTACCACACTTGCTACAATCAACTGCTTTTTGTTTTCTTTTTATCCTAGTCCTCGAGGCTCCAAGCTCATCCACTTCTTTCTTTCTTTCTTAATCTCTGTTTCTTTCCTTTCTTCTTTTTTCAAATAAAAAGGTGGCAATAGTTTAGGATTAGATAATTTAGGCCATAAATCTTTCCCATTCATAGGGAATATGGTTGTATATGCTTTCATGTATGTCTCAACCTTGTAGCAGTCGTGAACATAGTCTACAATCTCATCTTTTTTATTCATATAGCACAAATAGCATGTTTGCAAGGTATCTCTGATAATTTCCATTTTCTACAGCTACATATCTTGTTATACAAGTCCATAGTATAAGTGCCAATATCAGTAGACCCTAGGATCTCATAATTCCATGAGTCGACTTTTCGAGGAATATAACCAGAAGCTCCCTTCATGTTTCTATACAATTTCTTTTTTATAGTTGGACAAATATCACCCAAAGTCTATTTTTCAGCTTTATCCCTGTTGGTTGCAATCCTAGCCATGAGTATATGTCTTATGGTCTCCAAAAGTTTAATAATTAATTTTTCTCTAGCATCAAGAATCAAACTATTGAAGACCTCACACACATTGTTTAACAGCATGTCATACTTAGAAAGTGGTGAGAAGTGAGATCTGGACCATTCACTAGGTAACTTAGTAGAAAGCCATTCGTGCGCTTTTTTATTCAATTCAAGTATCTTCAACATACATACATTAAACGCTTCAACAGTTGTTGCTCTAGCCGCTTCCCAAAAAGCATCTTTTAACGTATGACCAGGGAACCCAGCCTTTTTTAAATTATTGTGCAAGTGCTGCGCACAAAACTCGTGAGAAACATTTGGTAACACTTCCTCAAAAGCTTCAAGAAGGCCTTTTTGCTTATCTGACATGAATGTCTAGAGATATTGCTCTTCTATTTCAATATCAATCATCAAATAGTTCAAAAACCATTGCCATGTATCCTTGCACTCCTTTTTCACAATGGCATAGGCTATAAGAAAGATATTGTTATTGCCATCCAAACCAACATCAGCAAGCAACTGTACTCCATACATAGAATCTTTCAACTAACAACCATCAACACCAACAATCTTCCTACGACCTGCCTTAAAGCCCTCTTTACATGCTGCAAAACAAATGTATAATCTTTGGAATCTAGACGGATTGTTAGGGGTCTCATTTGGTGTTAACTCTATGTAAATTGATGTTCCAGGATTAGATCGCACGATCTCATTAATATAATTCTACGACATGCTAAATTAGTCATTTAAGTTACCATCAATCAAAGAAATAACTTTCTTTTTAGCTTTTCTTGCTTAACATAAAGATACGTCTACTCCCAGCGCTCTACTGACTTCATCTCTGAATTTTGATGTCTTCCAATCTCTGCTTGATTGGATTCTGTCCATATATTTCTTTGCAATCCAACTGGAAGTAACATTCTTATTCTTGACATTCCAACAAAAACATGTATGCTCGGAGTTGTAAGTCTTAATCTGAAAATTTGTATCCCTGTGTATTTTTGAATCTAGAATTACCCACTTACAAGAGGGACGATGCTTACATCTTCCCCATGCTCTTTCTGAATCATCCTTAATCTACTCGATCGTCCTTCCTCTTTTAGCCTCATGAGTAGTTACAACTTTTTTAAACTCTTTTTTATTTTAAAATACTTGTCCTAATGCTAACTTAGGATTAGAGCCATCAGTCTTCGGATTATGCTTTGAAAAGTTAAAATCTTCATTAGATGCATCGCTATCACTATTCAAGCTTTTTGTGTCACTAGAAACAACATAATCTGAGCCGCCATCTTCGTTTTGCATATGCTTTTGCAACTCTTTGCTAATAAACTCTCCACTATCATCATTTGTTCTCGTATTTCCGTTGGCATTGACATAAAATGTTTCAGCAGAAGGATCAACATATCTTCAAACTCTCCATAATCGGACTCATTATCAGAATCACTATATACTGCTTGACTCTCGAACATTGAATCTGCCAATAAAGTAATTTTTATTATATAATAATAAAAGAAGCTAATTTTTTAATGTGAAACATAAGGTTCTTTCTTAAAAGTGGTCCCCTACTATTTTAACATATAATTTTTTTTATGCCTTTACCTGTAGATTCATTTGTTCACAACCTACTGTATATTATAATAAGGTATTATGCCTTTACCTTTACCTTTAGATTCATTTTAGAGGAAGAATATAAGAAGTAATGTCTATAACTAAAACAAACCAAGAAAAACTAAAATGAGATTAGACTTACTGTTTGGAACCCGGGTTAGGAGTGTATTATAGGTACAACAATGAGATTGTCAAATTTACACTGAAAGGTAGAAGCTTCACCCAAGAAGAAGTTATTCAACTATTAGAAACCCTATATCAAGTTTTTTAAATGTGTCTTTTTGTTCCGTCAAAAGGAGGAAGGAGGGAAAATTTTGTGAGAAAAGGGTGGGGGGAAGAGAAGTCATGTGAGAATACAAGATTCGTCAAATATAAACGGTAAATTTAACGGAGGGATGTTTTTGGTCTAACTTTTGGAAAACTTAAAGGATGCTTTAGGTTAAGTAAATATAAGCATGTAGGGAAAGTTGAGGTAAAACAAAAAAACAAAAACAAAAGGGGAGGACTATTTTGGTCAAATTCTCGTACGTTAACTCCCCCACTCAACCCCTACCCGCATCCCTTTCTCTCATTGCCCGTTTGGGGAAAGCGACCTCAACGTCGGTTGGCTAACTTCCCCCAACAGGGGTGCACTCTGCGCGCCCTTAATTTCTCTCTCTAAAACCCTCTAACACATTTTCCCTCTCTAACCCTCTAACACCGCAATGCCAATGCGAAGAGGGCTCTACCTTCTCCTCCTCCTGTCCTCCTCCTTTTCTTCTGCTGATCCGATACCTGGTGGAGATTCAGAAAATGGCGTCGTCGTCGTCGGTGTCAATGTTGCTGCTGAATTGAATGCGTCTGCCGTTGCGAGATCTGAGGAAGGTAGTTTCGCCAACATGATCGATCGAGCTCTGGAAAAAGAGTTCAATGAGACCGAAGAGCAGCCCGGTGGTTAGTCACATCTACCATTTGATTTTCTTCTAGGTTTTGTCTTTGCTGAATTACATTCTTCCAATCATGGGTAAGTTGCAACACTGGGTACATTCAGAAGTGGATTCAGGATTTGAACTTTATGTATTGGGATTCTAGGACAGCAAGCTCGAGTGCTTGTAACTGGGTTCAGAATTTAACATTTGTACATATTTAGTGGTTTTGTTAAGACACGGGATTGGGCCAAAGCTATTTAGTAAAGCACAACGTGGGGCTTAAATTGCACGTCTAAGTGGCTAAGTTCTATAAGTTTGTCAGAGTTACAGTTTTTCGCTATTAATTCTTTTTAAGAAGCAGTTTTAATATAATTACTTACTTGCGTGACAATTTTGTGCTTCTAAAGGCTATTTTTCACACACATGGGGCAATATAATTGTGTTTCTAGATTTGGTTGGTTGTTCTTGGAGATGTTTTTAGAAACTTGAGGTATTTACTGTTTATGTTTGATGCATAAGATTCTGTTTTGCTTTTATGAAATGGTCTTTAATAACTTCAGAACCCCAACTTGCCCCTAAATCTCAGGAGTCAACGTGGTTCGATACCACTTCTCTCCGATAACTCGAACCCCCAACCTCAAAGATGGAGGGGGAGTGCCCGTACACTAGGGTATCTCTTGCTTGTTAGAACATAGAACCCCTAATTTGCTTTGAAATGGAAATTATTTAGTATCTAAATGAAATGGACTTGAATAGAGCTGAATGGATAGAGGATTAATATATTATTGATATAGCTGATTGATTGATTTGTCTATTATAAGCTCACATATGTGTCTTTCTCTTTGCTGTCCGTCTATCTCATACTATTATTGTTTCTTGTTTCAGCAATAGATCACGGGAGCTTCAACAATAGCGTCTCGGAGCAGGAGGTTTGCGCGACGTTCCTTTAAGTTATTGTCTTAAGAAGATAGTAAGAATAATTGGTTGCCATATGTTAGTAAATGATATTGATTTGAACTTCTCATGGAGTCATGCTTTATCTGAAATTAATTGCAATGATCTTTAGGTTATTTACTCCTATGAGTAGCTGGATGGATTGGAGTTTGTTGGACTGATGTTGATCCGTGACATGTTGATATCTTGTTTAATGGGTTTAATATGTATTTATTTGCTAGATTCTTTGTAGTTTTAGTTTAGCTCTAAAGGGGAAGTATGTGAAGATGTTTTGATGTTAAAATTGTGGGCAAAGATTTATTTTATATGTTTGCTTTCATTTTGTAAAATATATATCTAATAGTTGTGTCTTAATTATGGAACCTTCCTTTATTTTACGTAGCCTAAAATTCTATTTAAGGAACCATCTTGAATGTATTTACTCATAGTTTCAAATTAATTCTCTCTCCTCTCTCCTTTTCGCGCTTGGCATCATAGTTGCTAGCTGTAGATAGATAACTCTGTTTGGGTAGTTGTTTGACCAGAAAACTTTTTGACCATTGTCCAAGCCGTGGTGAGCTTGTTATCTCGACATTCGTGCTCCATCTAATAGTCAAATCATATCTAGAGTTTGGTCTTGACAAGAAAAAATGATCATCAATACCATGTCCAGATACACACAACAATGCGCGGTCACGTTGTTAGAAGTTCCTTAGCCAGGCCCAACACACGCATCGCCACGTTTCTTTTGCATTTTCCATGGAAAATGGGAATACCTACTTGTACAGATGGTTAAAATTTGGGAGGTTTAATACATTGATTCCGTACTTTGTAACGATAATACCAGCTTGATGATAAATCAATGAATTACTTTGCTTTTTTAAAAAGAAACATAAAACCAGTGAAACAAGGACAGTCAGTGGTTAATTTTCAGCCACATAAGAGGCCACAACAGTGGAAGTTGTCAATGAGTCCTCCCTAGGACTTCTCGACATTCTGGCTCCGTCTTTTCTGTCCCTTTTGTCACATTCTGATCATACATTAGTCATCATTAATTTTGGAAGGATTTCGCTATAAGTTGCTTTAGTAAAATGGCTAATTAAGTTACAAAAGAATTCTCCAAAGTAGTCATAGTATGTCATTTTGAGGTATTGCCAAAAACATTTTTTTAGAGTATTGCAGTTTTTCCTAGTTCATTAGTCAATCGTTTGCTTATCTTACTGTTGAACTTGCAATTTAGAAAAGCAATACAAGAGAGAATCTTATTATGCTTTTTTAAGTTTGATTTTTTTGATTATGGCCTATTTCCAAGTACTGTGGAACATATATATGCATTTCTGAAGCATGTCAATTCTCAGGCAGTTCTGGAAACCGTTGCTAGGGTTGGTAGGGTCAAGTTTAAGAAGAACGAGACAAATGAGGAAAAGTATGTCATGCTATCTTAAGATTCATTACAGGNTTGAGAAGATCACCTCTGTGCTCCGCTAGAAAGATGATTATGGATTCCTGACAACACGATTTACTAACTGGTCCCCCCCTCCCAAAAAAATAAAAATAAATCAGGATAATGTTTTTATCATGTCTAATCCGAAGTCAAAGTTTCCAGTGCTGCAGCTAGATTTAAGGTTAGCTTACTCCATCTTTGCCACATCCTGGTTATTGTAAAACTTAATAACTAATAGAAAGACAAATTTATCAGTGTAGTTTGTTAATCGATCTGATTTTATGTAACTCCATTCGCAGATTGATATCTGATCTGGTTGTTGTCATTGTTTCTGCAACTTGTGGTGGCATTGCCTTCGCTTGTGCTGGACAACCGGTCTGATAACTTCTCCTTTTGCTTGTTCTGATGATAACTGCAATTGCTCCTTTCTATGTCTTCTGCATATGGTCTGTTTGGCTTGCGGATTATGTTTATTTGACTTCTTTTATGAATCTTGCTTTATAGCATATGCTACTAATGTCTTGCAGGTTATCACTGGATATTTGCTGGCAGGATCAATTATTGGACCTGGTGGTTTTAACATTATCAGTGAAATGGTGCAGGTATGTTGATTTCATGTCTTTTTCAATTAAGTAACTCAATCAATCATTCAATTAATCAATTAACTCGTTCCCACGTTATCTTCAATCAAGTAACTAAGAAAATAAAAATTCATGTGGCGTACAGAAATTTCTCTCTTGAATTTATTTGACTTATTCATGTTTATGCATGCTGTTTTGCTTTTGCGGTTTGTGTTCCATTAAGTGTTAAAGAATCATTTTGTACATTTGAGAGTATTGAGATGTGTAGAAGTTATACATTCTGTTCTGCTTCATACTATTAGCACTTTCCAGCAGTTTAAAGTGTTTTTGGGGTTTCAATGCTTTATGGCTTATATCAACTGTGTTTGTCGTTTGACGGTCATGTAATCTTGTGGTGTTAATGGTATTGCTACTATTTTCTAGTATTCTTTCAGTCTTTTTAAATTTATGTTTCCTGATTTCCTTTGGTACAATTTTGCAGGTTGAAACAGTTGCTCAATTTGGTGTTATCTTTCTTCTTTTTGCGTTGGGCTTAGAGTTTTCCACTGCAAAGGTTGGCTTTTGGTTATTAAAATGAAAACATTTTGTCGTTTTATCTTATAAATTGAAAGAGGATGTGCAATTTAACTTGTAATTGCAGCTTCGCATTGTTCGTGCTGTTGCAGTGTTAGGAGGGTCACTTCAGATAATTCTCTTCATGTGTTTGTGTGGAATAACAGCCTCGGTGTGCAACTTTTATCATCACCTATTTCGGAGCTATTGTTATGACTAGTTCAATTTTAGTTATCTGCAGTCGGGAAAAGCTTTTATCTAAATATTTGAGGCTCCAACTATGCAAATTTGAGCTCTTTGATATCACCTTATCTTAACCGTGATTTGTTGATACTTGCAGTTATGCGGTGGGAAAGCATCTGAGGGTGTTTTTGTGGGTGTCTTCTTGTCAATGTCTTCAACAGCAGTGGCAAGTCCCTGTGAATTTTAACTTTATCTTTCCAATTGAATTTATTGGACCGCCAAGTATTTTGTCATGGACTCTTATAGCATCTTTTGCACGAGGGGCGAGGATTGGGAATATTCCAAATAATTTAAGTTCACACAAGGTGTACTTTAGGAGAGAAAAATGGGATAGTTTACCAGTAATAATATAATTTACTATGGTATAATCTTAGGGGAGAAGTAGGGAAATGTCGCTGTGAATGCACGGATCACCTTCTATATTTGGTTTCATTAGTTTCAACCCTATATCAGTTGTTTCTACAAAATGTTAGGAGCTCGGTTGGGTGTTGGAAGACTGGAATTAATCATCAATTTTTAGAGAAATGTATTGACTGAATAATCTTAAAAACAAGTGTATTACAGAAAATTGTGGAAGAGGATTTACTTTAATTTTTTTACAATCACAAGAAAGATGATAAAAGCTTACCATTTCTTCGTGCATCCTGTTTTGTGCTTAACTTGCTGCTAAAGATGTCATTTCAAATGTTGTTTAGGAATTCCTTTTTACCATTTAGACAAGCAATGTTTCTTGGATATTCTCTAAGACCTTAGGCTATCTCAATCCTCTATGGATTTCTTTCTCCCAACATATTTGCAGCCTAAAATTGCTAGTAACTGGATAGATATAACGGGAAGAGTGCGAAAGGAATGAATGGGCAGCCCATATAAGCAGATTCTGTATTCGGGAAGTCATACCATCTTGAATCTTGAATCCACTCGTTCAGTGTTACTGATGAAAATATTGAATTAGATACATTGTGCTGCACCTGGTAAAATCATATTTAACATACTGAAGAAATAATACATCTTGCTAAATTGCAGGTGTTGAAATTTTTGATGGAAAGAAATAGTGTTAACACTCTCTATGGGCAAGTCACAGTTGGAACCCTTATTCTGCAGGTGTTTTAGCTTCCCATCTTTGTTTTTAGTGATATTGCTATTACTAAAAGATTTATGGTGCGTATTCTTTCACATGGATGGGCTATTAGTTGATCTAACAATTTTCAATGCTTATTATTTTGCTAGTTCTTTTTCATTGAGAATACTTCCCTTATTGAACTTTTGAGATGTTTTGCTGACAGGATTGTACAGTCGGTTTGCTATTTGCGCTGCTTCCTATTCTGGGTGGTACTTCTGGTGTTTTTCAAGGAATGGCTTCCATGGCAAAAGTGTAAGCAACAGTGGTTGAAAAAGTTCTAAAATTGGAATGCAAGCTCAAATCACTGTGATACATTTATGCTATTAAATGCATAATGAAATCGTTGAATGTCCATAATATATTGCTCTAATGTAGTCTTCTGTGTTGCTAATGATTTATCATACATAATCGGTGGGTATGTAGCCTCTCTATCTTCACTAGGTAGGGTAAATCTGCGTACATACTACCCTCCCTAGACCGCACATGTGGGAATATACTGGGTTTGTTGTTGTTGTAATCGGTGGGTATGGCGATTATGGTGCCAAGTAAAAGAATTCTCAAGTTATTGTTGTTAGCTTTATTTAATTTCTCATATTTTTTAAGCATAATTTTGGACAAGTGTTGGTCAACTACTGTCCTGCATCAGGTTGAATTGTGTGACCAAATGAAAGTCAGCTGATAGAGTCATTTCACCTTGGTTTGGACCTGATATTCTCATGCAGCTTTTTTTCTGAACTTGTCAGCCTAAGGCCATTAGCATTTTTGTGTGGGTGCCCAAGGTGTGCGTGTCATACAAAGAGAAACAACCTGAATATTCTTGGGCGCATTTCATTTTGTTGTACATACAATCTGAATCTTAATTTGATTCTCCTCTCAAATTTAAATTTTCCGACTCTAGTAAATTTATTGAACGTTTTAGAAGTCTGTCATGCCCTTAATTTGCTACTTTTCGTTGGATTACAGATTGGTGATTTTGTTGATGTTCTTGACCATTTTGTCGATACTATGCCGCAGTTGCGTTCCTTGGTTTCTTAGATTGATGATAGGCCTATCATCACAGGTGAGTTTGCATCTGCTTGAATAATGCATAATTTTACTGTAATTTTTGTTTCCTCGGGTGACTATGAACATTTGATTTACTGGGAATTATTCTGCAGACTAATGAATTGTACCAACTTGCATCCGTGGCTTTCTGCTTGCTTGTTGCTGGGGTTTGTCTCCCTTTACCATCCTGAGCAGCATATCTGTGCAATCTGACTATCTTTTTTCCTTTAACTGTTCATCCTGATAGTTTTTCAGTTAATCACTTCTCAATCATATGACAATGAGCACATATAACCTACTGGATAAAATGGGTTGTTGCATCTTGTCAGTGTAGCGATAAGCTGGGTTTAAGTCTTGAACTGGGTTCTTTTGCTGCTGGAGTGATGATATCAACTACTGATCTGGCTCAGCATACTCTTGAACAGGTACAATCTTTTGTACATTTCATATGCACACTGCATTTAGCCTTAATTTTGTTGTTTGCCAGGAGTCCTTTTCAGTTGGATGGCTTGTATGTCAGTGTATAAAGAAGTGTGAGATTTAGAGAACCTGTAGTTTCTAAAGAACTCCTAGCTTGCCTTAGAAGTCAATTCTTGGTATAGAACGAGCCCGAATAGAAGCTAGATATAGATGATTATATAACTGATCCCTACTACTTTGGTATTGGAGATGTAGTTGCTTGATTTAATGGTTGTTGTTTGCCATGCTCTCGTCCCTAGCTACATATATCTGGCTTTGGAGTATGCTCAAGTAGGCAACAAACTGAGGGACGTTTTGTATTCAAGGTTTAAGATCCTCAATTGACACTTAGCTGTATCACATTATTAAACTTCATCTAAATGGATTCAAAAAATTCAGATTTCATGATAATCCTGGTAGTTCAATCATCAATGCCACCAAACTTTAAATTTGTCAACTTCTTGATAGCTTCAACCTAGAAACTGAAAACTTTCCTGTGAAATATAAAACTTTAAAATGGGTGTTAATTTTTTTAAATTCTCAAAAAAATATAAAATCTTTAAAATTGAATTTCAGAGTCCTCTTCGTAATGTAAAGACATTTAAGTTACAAACATCATTTGTTCAAAACTATTGGACAACTTAGGCCATCACATGGTCATCATCTGAATTTGAAGAGCTTGAGCTCGAGCTTCAATGAGCATCACTTTTTTATGCTCTCATGTTGTCCAGCTGTTGAAGCAATCTTCCCGTGGCCAGTGGTCTAAAAGGAATTTTTGGGGTGCGCTTTGGGGCGCATCCAGGTGCAAGGTGCATTAAGATCCGCTTGGGGCGGAGATGAGAGGCGTATGTCTCGCAACACATAGGCTGTGAGGCATATGCTTTGGGTGAACATTGAGCCTCAGACTATGCGTCACCCGGAAGTTTTGTACAAATAAATCTTCAAACTGCCTAAAATAGATGTATGCAACTGGGTGAAGAAGATGAAAAGACAAAGATGAGAACCTACTGTCACCTTCTCCTTCTTTTGCTTCACTTAGTTTTCTTCTTCTTCTGCTTGCCGTAATTGACTTGGTAGACTTGGAAGCCATTGACGGTGTAGATCTGGAGTTAACGGAGAGGGGAGCGCGAGGTTAGCAATTTTTACAATATGGTAAGAGATGCGGCGGAACTAGGGCTAGATCAAAAAGTAATTTCGATTGATAAAATCTATCCATTAATTTATGGGCCTTCTTTGGTCGTGGGCTCTCTAATGGCTGAAGATTATTTATGTTTCGTAGTACTTAATGTAAACAAAATGAGATAGCAATAATTAAAAACTGAGGGGAAATGATTCACTTATAAAGAGTTTTTCATGT